GAAACTTGGGAAGGACGACAGGAAGACCGCCGCTTTGGCGTGTCCCGCAAGTGGCTGTCCGATGCAAAGAACTACTGGCTGAACAAATACGACTGGCGCGCGCAGGAAAAACACATCAACTCGTTCCCGAACTACAAGATGCAAATCGAGGACGTCGATATGCATTTTGTTGCTCTTTTCTCTGAGAAGAAAGATGCCATCCCCATCATCTTCATGCATGGGTGGCCAGGAAGTTTCCTCGAATTTCTGCCCATGTTGACGTTGATCAAGGAGAAGTATTCAGCCAAGGACCTACCATACCACATCGTCGTGCCTTCACTGCCCGGGTATACCCTGAGTACCGTGCAGTCGGTAGATAAGGAATGGACTCTGGCAGACAGCAGTCGCGTCATGAACCAGCTGATGCTGAATCTGGGCTTCAACAAGTACCTCGCCCAGGGAGGAGACGTTGGCAGCTTTACGGCGCAAATGATGAGCCAGTTGTACGACTCCTGTGTAGCATTGCATTGTAAGTCCAACTCCATATATTGATTACTCTGATTCTGATGTACCAGTGAACCTGATAAGTGGTCTTCCTAAGCCGGACGGGAACACTCCTTTGAATGAGGTAGAGAAGAAATCCCTCGGTTACGCAAAGGAATGGGCAACTAGCGGAACGGCCTACGCTCAGGAGCATGGCTCGAGACCCAGTACGATTGGGAATGTGTTGGCATCTAGCCCGCTCGCACTCCTTGCATGGTAATATCGTCGTTTTACGTAGAGAAATATTTCCACTAATGTCGTTCAGGATCGGTGAGAAGTTTCTTGAATGGAGCGATGAGGACCCGTCCCTCGACGAGACGCTCACCAATGTGTCACTTTACTGGTTCACCGAAAGCTTTGCTCGCTCTATCTATCCCTATCGCGCGCTCTTTGGATCGGGTGCTAGGGACATCGGTGCGCCTAAGAAGCCACTCGGTTTCTCGTTCTTCCCACGAGAACTGGCCCCAGGCATCAAGAGCATCTTGGAGAAAGAAACAAACTTGGTGTTCTATAAGCAGCACGAAAGCGGTGGACATTTTGCTGCTCTGGAAAAACCGAAAGAGCTCTGGCAGGATGTTGAGGAGTTTGCCGGCAAGGTTTGGAAGGTATGAGGTGGCATGAAGGATAGTGTCAGTCTTGGTGTTGCGCACGAAGGACGGCTGACATGATGAAGGGTTCTGCTACATCCTCGAGATTGTAGGAATGCGATTTGTGATACCAGGTAGCTGTAAGGAGTTGCAACTGCATGCAAGGGTCTTTTCGATGCTGCTAGTGTTGTATGGATGCGGAGTATGGTACCTGATTAGTTGCTAGGAGGTACATGCCCTGCGAGTAAATGTTATTCCTGCTCATCCACCAAAAGTCGCTCAATTTCCGCGATCCCAGTTACCGATTTCACGTCCATCGCAATTTGGATGGAACGCCGATTTGTTATCAATACCCCGACTTATAATCAATACACCGTTGGGCCCACCCGTACGCGCAGATCGCTCCTCCCCTGGCGGCAGAACTCCGCCCATCGGCTTCAACGTTCCGCATGACGCGCAGCGCCGGCCCCAACCTTCAACGATCGCACGACAGCACTGACAGGACACGACAAGAGGTCAAATCGGGCCGGCTCTTATATGTTTTGCTAAAACGTTCTACAGCAAGCAACCACCTTCTTAGTGTCGCCTCCGCGCTCTCATCGGCAGATGCATCGGCATCACCAAGTACACCAGCTACGCGTACACGCAGCATGGTTACCCGTCGGCAGTTGTGCAACAGAACGAAACATTCAATCTGAAGTGCGATCACGTGAGCCTCCCAGTGTTGCCTCGGTAGTAGTAGACCTTTACCCCAGCTTCTTCGCATGCTTGTTGTACAATTCGGTGTTTGGTGTCGCCAAAGATCGTCATCGCGGCACGTCCCTGCAGGGCTGCATAACGGAGCACCCCAAATATGCCCCAGCTTCTGTTATTCGTTTATCCTGCCCCAGGCACGGAGGCGAACGCTAGTAATGTACCGTGACGAAGACCCAGTTTTCGGTAGAATAAAGAGAAGATGCATTCCCAAAATCTTGGATTAAGGTTCTTACTCAATCTATCTGGCTTACTGTCAAGATGAGGTTCGACAAGTCACTCCAATGTGCGCTGCTGAATGCGCCTTCCGTCGTATTCGCCGCCCCACAGTCAGCATCCTACCCCACAAACGGCACGGCACCGGCCGCTTTCAGCTCGAAGTGTGCGGAACTTGCGTCTAAACTTCACATCGATGGCGGCGTTGTTACGACAGCCGAGTTTGTCGCCGCTGGTACGAACCTGACTGTACCCGTATACGACGAAACATGTGCCGCAGCACCGCCAGCTATCACAGCGGACATGTGCCGCGTCGCGCTGAATGTGTCAACATCTGAGCGCTCTGGCTTCAGGATGGAGGCGTTCCTTCCAGCCAACTGGACAGGACGATTCCTCTCTGGCGGCAATGGAGGTTTGAATGGCTGCATCAGTTACGACGACTTGGCCTATGCGGTTGGTCTAGGTTTTGCTGCGGTTGGGACCAACAACGGTCACGATGGCACGAGTGGCTTGCCGTTTTACAATAACTCAGACGTTGTGGAAGACTTCGCATACCGAGCGTAAGTATCCATGCGTTAGCATGCTAGAGACTGGCTGACCAATATTAGTTTACATACTGGTGTCGTGGTCGGAAAGCAGATCACCAAAGACTTCTACGGCAAACCGCACGACAAGTCCTATTACCTTGGATGCTCCACCGGAGGAAGACAGGGCATGAAGTCTGCCCAAGATTTTCCAGACGACTTCGACGGCATTGTTGCGGGCGCACCAGCCTTCGCCTTTAACAACCTTACCTCGTGGAGTGGACACTTCTACACCCTCACTGGCCCAGCAAACTCGTCGTCCGCTTTCGTTCCGCAGTCAAAGTGGGTGCAAATTCACGCTGATGTCTTGAAGCAATGTGACAAGCTTGACAACCTCGAGGATGGCATCCTTGAGGCTCCCTTACTTTGCAAATATGACCCTTCGGGCCTAGCTTGCGCTGAGGGCAGCAACACTACTACCTGCCTTACTCCCGAGCAGCTAGAGACAGTCAAGGGAGTTTACTCGCCACTTCTCAACGATGCAGGAGACTTAGTCTATCCCCGTCTGCAGCCTGGTGCTGAGGTGATTGCGGCTGGCGCTATCATCAACGGACAGCCCTTCCCCTACACCACAGATTGGTTCCGCTACGCTATCTACAACGACCCTAGCTGGGATCCAGCAACTCTCAGCTCCGAGGACTACGACTACGCCGCAAAACTGAACCTCTTTGGGATCGAGTCCTTCAAGGGCGATTTGAGCGGAATGAAGGACCGCGGCGCCAAGGTGCTACACTGGCATGGCGGCGCGGACTTTGTCATCTCATCCGATAACTCTGCTCGCTACTACGAACACGTCACTTCTACTATGGGTCTGTCGTCTGAAGAGCTCGACGAGTTCTACAGGTACTTCCTTGTCAGTGGAACTGGTCACTGCGGTGGAGGAGAGGGTGCGCACGCCATTGGCCAGAGTGTGGGCGAGGTCAACGGATACGAGACCAGCCACAACGTACTCATGGCTTTGGTTGACTGGGTAGAAAACGGCAACGCACCCGAGACACTTATCGGAACGAAGTTCGTCAACGACACGGTCGCTCTAGGCGTTGAGTTTGAGCGCGCTCATTGCAAGTTCCCCAAGGTCAACCAGTACAAGGGCGGCAACCCTGATGTTGTTGAGAACTGGGAATGCGTTGACGCGTAAGGTCGAGTTTGATTGTAGAAGAAAGCATAGTGAAAATGGATCAAAGACTCATGTTCGACACTTGATAGTTCTCGTATCAATGTGGATTTTTATGTTCAAGATGCCAAACCCGAAGATCATTCGCGTACTTCCAAATCAGCCTTAGGGTCGTCGTGAAGCATTCAGTCGTTGTACCGCTTACTACCTACACTGGAATCCTTCCCGGTGCGTAGACATCTACAGACACTTGCATCGAATGCATTATGAATGTCTCACGAAGTGTCTCATACATATATCACTTTGGCCGCCCTTGACGTAGGATCGTCCCAGGATGATATTGAAACAAAGTTAAAAAACAGTCGGCGTACCCACATACCTACTGGCCATTCGGATTTTGCTGAGAACCATGGTTGAGATGCGTTGAAACCAAGGCTTACAACCCACATGTGGTATTTTCGTGCCAAATCAATTTTCGCGCGTTACCTCGTACAATAGCGCTAAGACATGTAGTCGTGCTTTGCATAGTGTCGTCGGTGGATGTTTGAGAAGTGGAAGTGAAAGCCGAAGACTCACCGATTTCACTCCCCTTACAACAACTACAACAGCGCAAGGCTAACAGCGTTTGACGTCACACAATTTCAGTCCGAGCGTCCTTTCTCTACAATGGCGCTCAACGGTATTGCAGTGCTTTTCAACGCGCCACAACTCACGTCCTCTGTGCATTCGACGTTCCTCCAACACATCCCCACCATCGCAACATCTGCGTACACGAAGCTTACGAGCATAATATCCAACAAAATGGGCTCATTTAGCGTTCCCGAATCCCCAGTTCCAGCGCGGCCTGCGAAGTCGGCGGCCACGGCGAAAAAGCCATCTCCAAGAACACATGACGCCAATACGTCCATAGGCAAGCGCAAAGAACGCGCCAATTCAGACGAGTCCGGAGGTAACGGGGTAAACCAACCTTCACCAGCGAAAAAGAAAAAGCGAACATCATTGGACGGTCGTTCTTCGGAAAAGAAAGCGACTGACTCCAGTCCCTCTTCAACACCACGAACGCATTCTAAGCACAGCCATGAAAAGGCGCCACCGAATGGCCGCCCGACGAAGCATGAACCAACTTTCGCGCCAAACTGTCGATCGGAACCACCTCAATATCCGCCTCTAAACGCATGCGGACACACGATCCATCCCGTCTATAGCGAGAATTACGCCAAAGCCATGTGCCCGATGTGTTTGGTGGATGCGTCAATGAAGACACTCCAGCACATCCAAGAGTTCATCAACGCCCATGATGGCTTGTCTCAATGGAAAGAGAACCTCGAGGGCCACTATGCTAAGTCGACTTACCATGTCGCCAGTCTGGGTGGTAAGAAGGGGAAGAATGTGAATGGAACAGACGTGTCTTACAGACACTGCAAGAGAAACCTAGTCAACTTGATCAACGAGATAGAAGATCTTTCCGAGATGGAGCTGGCCTGGGAAGCGAAACAGCCTCCTGAGAACAACGACGTTTACATGCAACATGTCCGACTCAGGAAGCAGTACAGTGCTACAGCTGCACTGCACTGGTACAAGGACACTGAACACAACGGCTTCATCGGTCGTGTGGAGGAGGACTGCGAGTTCTTCAGTCAACGCCGTGGTCGGCGCTGGACAATCGCAAGCGATCCAGACTTCCCTGACCGAGATGGCCATGAACAAGATCTAGGATGGAAATCGCTCAAGAAAATCCAGCATAAGCTTCTCAACGATTCCGATATCCCCAAGGTTCAAAGGACCGATGTCGCAGAGCAACTGCCGAGGCGAAAGCGCCGACGAGAAGGCGCAAGCGTTTCATGGAACGAAGATGTTTACGTTCGCACGGAGGCTGACGTGGATATGCTCCGTAAGGCATCGTGCTCACTCTCAGAAGAGTTCCTCGAGCCTTCTCCAAAAAGGCCTAGGATGGGCGTTCTTCGCACAACTCCACTTGAGGTCACACGAGAGCTTATTCCCGCTGCACCAGTCGCGAACGGCTCGAACCCTATCCGCCCTCACTACGTCATCCCGCTGAGCCGCAACGGACCTCCGAGAGACGTTACTAGGAGCTCGATGTGCAGGCATAGACGACGGTACGTGAAGGGACAATGGGCAGTTCCGGAGGGGAGCGAAATCATCGATACCAGTGGATATCGCAAGAACTTCGACGTCCATGTCGCGAATATGGAGCAGCTGCAGATCGAGGCTGTGAAGTTGGACCGAGAAGACCTTGGCGGGGATACAGAGATGAGGGACGCTCCTGCCGCTGATGCGCAAAGATCAACACCACAGCCGTCGCGGTGGTCACCAAGCCTTGGGGGTCGACTGGTGAATTGCATCGCCAACCTTGGTGTCTTCCATTTTCCGGGTTTTGACAGACAAGATCGTGGCGGTGGTGAAACTTCGGCGCCGCAAAACAATGCTAGACACGCCAGTCTCCTGGCTTGATGCCGCTGTCAGGCTGTAACCGTACATCGTGCTGACATCTTGTAAGTCGTTCCCTATAGATTGTCTTGGTGTTTCGCACTAACGGTCGTTTCCAAGGTTTACACGATGGATGCTTACGTGCTCAGCCCCAACATGTGACCTGTGGTACCTTGGCAGAGCGACTTATTCCCGACCGTCAACCCAACATCTCAATCACAAAATCCATACAACGATTCCCGACGCTATTTGCGAAAGACCTAGCATCTTTCAAAGATGGGCTGCTCAGCTATGCGCTCTGGATTGGGGATCAAAAGGATCCATTCTCGGATCGACTTGGGCGGGGATCCCCCGCAAAACGCCGACGGCCACATCCCGGAAATTGACACTCGCTCACGCTACGCTTGGCCTGCACGGACAAGAGATATCGATTCGGCGTAATTGTGACGCCTGAAGGGCAAGCACGTCGTCCAGATCGTGTGTAACGAAGTGGTTCAGATGTCGATCATGTCACTGCGTCGCTGGGTATAAAGCACCCTGTCTGCTTCATGCACAGCGAAATGTTTCTAGTTTGATACCACTTGTAAAGTGCTCAACTGTTACCAGCACCATCGCCGATCTTATAAGACAGGATGCGAGTCTCCATTACTCCTGTAATTCTCTTCGCCTCTCTGGCATCTGCGGCCCCGCAATGGAGTGATCATTACAAACGACAATGGACTGATCATTACAAACGCGAGGCTCCCACACCCTCACCCGAACTGGTTCAGCGCCAGGAGTCTTTCGCGGTACCCGAATGGGACAAACGCCAATGGACCGACCACTACAAACGCGAGGTTCCTACACCCTCACCCGAACTGGTTCAGCGCCAGGAGTCTTTCGTACCACCACCCCCATTCGCAGCTGTCCGAAGACAGGACAGTGCTGTATGGTACGCTCCTGGAGGCAAACGCGAGGCTCCCACACCCGCGCCTGAACTGGTTCAGCGCCAGGAATCGTTCGTACCACCCCGAGTCGCACGTGCGACTCCAATCGCGGAAGCAGCTGTCCGAAGACAAGACTCAATCCTCAGACCACCTAAACGCGAGGTCCCCCCTACACCCGCGCCTCAAGCTCTAGGGAAGAGACAGAATGCCCCACGCCAGCACACTGACCCGCCGGAGACTCTGCAGCTCCGCGGTATGCCTCGTCGAGACGACGCCGAGGCTCCTGAACCAACTGAACCTCCTAGTCCTCGTGATCTACCCGTAGGAGACGAAATCCTACCTCGAAGTGACGGAGAAGAGGAACCCATCACCAACGCCCGCAGAGCAGCGGACCCTGAGCCCACTGGTCCTAGTGACCAACCCCAAGTCATAGTCCCACGCCAAAAGACTGAAGACGGACAACGCAAGAGAAACGAAAAGGAGCCAATAACCGAGTTGCGCAGAGACGCCTACGCCAACCCTGAGCCCACCGACCCCCCCAGCCCCTGCGACAAGGCGGAACCAGCTAAGATCAAGCCCCGAACCGAAGAGGAAGAACCCACCGACCCTCCCAAAGCCAGAGCCGACCCAGACACCAACCCCATCCTAAAAGCCCTATCAGGAACCTACTCGCTGGTAAACACATCCAGCTCCCGCAACGGCGAACCCATTCCCGACCTCCCCTACGGCAAAGCCCCCGTCGGCCTCCTCATCTACACAGAATCCGGCTTCATGTCCGCCACCATCACAGCCACGGAACCTGAATTCCGACCTAACCTCACTTTCCCGTACCAGCCCAACGACTCAGACGCTGATTGGGCGCTCGTCGGCAAGCACAGTATCGGGTATGCGGGCCCGTATAGCGTCAATGAGGAGTTGCCTGCGACGGAGACGGAGGGCCAGATCTTCCATGGCCCGCTTACGGTGGCGAATGTGCCGACTTGGGAGGGGCAGAAGGGAAAGAGGAATTATACGATTGTTGAGGTGGAGGAGAATGGGAAGGGGGTTAAGTATTTGAAGATTGGAAGTGAGCGAGGGAATGGGTATAGGGGTATTCTTTGGTGGAAGAAGGTTGATTAGATGGTGATGGTGTAATTGGAGTGGCGGAATGTTGATAGCAAGATTTACTCATGTTTCATCAATGGTTGTTTTCCATGTGTTGAGTGAGACATGCTTTGGTTTGTCAGGATAAGTGGACATGATCGCTGCAGGTGAAAAGAAGAAAACGTTCAGACGGCAGTGGGTCTTGAGTGATGGCTGCGCCGGAATTTGACGATGTTATCAAGTGCTTCGTAACCGATAGCTGAATGATGCTAGTAATTAGAGCACGATGATAGCAACTATCTGTATCCATACAGACTGCTACAGCGTTCGTGCCAGTGTCTTATTCAAGTCTTTCTACTGCACTCCGGTCACTTGCCCCATACTTCTGAAATTGACTCCTGTGCACTCTGTCGAGATATCATCCGTTGCATAGCTCTCACTCCCTTCCTATTCAAACCTGCTTGAACGCCGTAGAACGTCCAATCTGCCCGGCTGACAAGACCCAGGAGGCAGAACGTCAGGATGGCATGTAGGACTTCAGTAGATTCAAAATCTCGTCAATAACTGTGTTCGAAGTCGTCTCTTCCTCTCGACGGGAAGTGTCTGACGCCTAATCATCCGACTTCATTTCCACGTCCTTTGCATCTTTCGTCTCCTCTTTCGCTGGCGCATCTTCTTTGGACTTTTCATCTCCCGATTTTGCGTCACTGGGTTTCTCAGATCCTCCATCTTTCATCTCTTGGTCCTTGGCGTCTGTGCTAGCTGGTAATTTTGGCTCTGGGCTCTTGTGATCAAGGCTCGGTCTGCCAATAGCTCCTTCAATGTTGAGCTTTCCCTGCTTTTGCGGACCGGTATCTTCCATGCCAATGACCTCTGGACCTCGGGCATGTGGCGCTTCTTCCTCGCCCTCGACGGTGTCTACAATGGTACCTCCGCCTTCCATCTCGCCGAATGTAGTTCTTGTCGGGCTCGTGGTCATGCTGTGTGGGTTGTTCAAAACGATGCCGGCCTCTTGTTCTTGGCGCAGAAGTTCGCCTTGAGTGACGGGCCCTGTAGACGGCAGCGTCTCGCCCTCGGGATGCGACGAAGCAATTTGGGCTACATTAGAGGTGGGAGATTCTGCCCGCTGACCACTCAGCATTCCCACAGTCACTGTTTCTATGCGTCCAGCACCATTAGGACCGTCGACCATTTCGGTGCTTTCTGAAATAAGCTCGTTCTGGCCGCGGTTCTGAAGCCAAGGGATGGGAGTGAGTAGGGCTCCGCCTAGTGCCTCGTCTGAACCTAGCTGCGCTGTTTGCGTAGTGGTGGATGTGGTGCCATTGAGCAGTCCGCTGGAAGTCGGCAGCACGGCTTGTGGCAGAGGGAAGATGGTGAGGGGCGAGGAGACGGAGACGACACGGTCGAGTGCGCGGAGGTAGGGTGGCAGGTATCGGTAGCGTTTCTTGGGCTCGAGTATGAGTTCAGCTAGGCGTTGGACGGTATGCGGGGGATGGTTCGCGAAGTTCTTGGAGAGAGTGGAGCGTATTGAGGAGTAGAAGGTGGTGACGTCTGTTGGCACGCTTTGCGACTCGGTCGAGGCGGAGAAGGCAGGCACAGGCGGCCGCGGGGGCGTGGCGGGCGGTGCATTCTCCTTGTCGGTGGCATGCGAGTCTTGGCTGGATATGGCATTGGACGTGTTGGGTCGCGAGGGCAGGTCGGTGGTCGCGGACGTGGTCGGCCTGGGGAGTGCGTCTGCGGGTGGCTTGGGGAAGTCGGTGATGATCTGCGAGGGTCAGGGTTGATGGCGGTGGATATGGGTAGTTCGGGATTACCTCATCCAGGCGATCCAAGATGTACTGCAGTGTCTTTGGCCATTCTGCTCTGCACACGGGCGCGTTAGATGCTGCATGCGCCGGACGTGGGCTCTGGGGTGGGGACGTACGAATCGAGGGAGCCGTCCTCGGCAGCTTTCTGGAGGATTAACTCTGCTGGAGGAGCATCAGTAGGTGCCGCGTTGCCAGGACCCTAGAATCCCAGACTCACCAGACGTCATGGCTGCGGCGCGTGGGTGTCGTGGTGGTGGTAGAGGCGCGACTCGCGATGGGGCTGCTTTTGGCGGGCCGATACTGCGTCAGTCGAAACGGCGACCCTGTGCACTACGCGTCCTTAATGATGTCAGATATGGCTGTGTGATTGGCCCAGACAAGTGACGGGAAAGCTGTCGGTGTCGCGCAAAATGACGGCAGATTGAGCTCCACTGCGCTGGACTCGTACCGTAGTGCTCAAGGCCTGCGCCACAGATGCAATCTAAAGATAGCGCACGCCGGCCAATGAGCAGCGGGTGTCGCCGGGCGGTGCAGGTGGGCGATGGTTCAGCAGCAGCTGGGGCCAAGCCTTGTGCGCGTGAGAGGATGCCGAAAGCGACAGGCAGCTGAGCAGCCAAAGGCTTGGGCCGCGCCGCAGCATGACAGTCCGTCCGTACTTGTAGAAGTCAGACCGCCCGACGTGCGCATTCTCGTGCTTCGTATTTTGATATCCACAAAGCCTCACCCAGGCTACCGTTGACTGAAGTAAACACGGAGCAGCGAGCGGGTCTTACGGCGAGACCCCCTTCAGCCTTTCTCCACACCGGCCGGGGCTCTCCCAGGCGCTACTTTGCGCACATCTCAGCACCTGCGTCCACCTAGCAGCAGCCGTCCCATCTCCGCCCACGCCCCCAAGTCCTAACAAACAACACCTCTCTCCGCCGCTCGCTCGTCTTGTTGTCCGTCGATATCGCTCCTTATCACCAAGTATCCCCATCTCCGACCCGTCGCTCGTCATCGCCTGTTGCTTCTTCGGCCTCTCCGCATAGCCAAGATACTAGTTTCAGCGACGCGCGCTCACCTGCTCCCCCGACGACAGCGACTCCCTTGGTTTCAGCAGTCCGCCCAGCGCCCGCCCTCTGTCTCAAGTACCCCAGCAGCCCTACACACCGCACCACGACACAGGTCGCAGTTTGTCTGCGCCGCACCACCACGCCCGCCTCACCAC